CATTGGCTCACAGAGTGCAGGGTGCTGCTGGCTGCTGCTTCTGGCTGTTGGTGGTGGGTGGCTGAAGCCCCCCGGGGCACGTGGTTTGTGTCATGGAGCTCCCGGCTACATGAAGGCTGATGATCACTGCTGATGGGATTGTGAGCTCCAGCTGATCACGGTGTGCACATAGGTGCTATTGTGTACCAATGCAATTTTGCAGTTGGCTGGAGACTTTTGCTAAGCAACGCTTCACACGGAGTAAGATGGATGCTTCTTCTGTAAATAATCCCTATTTTTCCCAGTTTGAGGCTTGCGGTTTTCTTTTGGGTTTCTGGACTTTCTAAGTATTGTATTTGCAGTGGCACAAAGCTGTGTTTCAAGCCAACACACAGGTTTCTGGGCTTCGTGTAAGCTTGGGTGTGAGCCGTTCTTTCGTGTGCGTCTTGTGCTGCTGCTCCTTAGGTCAGCGTAAGGCATAAATCCTTCTGTTAGCACTTTTCATTCTGATTCAGGAGTTACTCAGAGGTGTTAGGAAACGAGAAATACTGCATACAGGGAATATTTTCCAGATGAAAGCTTCTTCTAAGACTCTGGAACTTGGTCAACAGTTGTCCTTCCTACTGAATTGTATGGAAATATCTGCTAAAAGTCTTTAAAGAAAAAGTCTAGGTTTCTTCCACTTATCCATCTACTTGTATTTGATCACTTTCTGTATTTCTTTTTCTGCTGCCTCCATCCTGACAGATTTCTTTTTTTCTCCTCACTTCTTCCCGCAATCTATTATTTTTCATGAACTTTTCTTCCTCAGCACAGAAATTACAGCCAGTTGTTCATTACAGCAAAACAATTGTATTTTTGTTGTCCTGCAAGGCATAAGTAAGCTTCCTTTTGTGTCTTGAATGGCAAGTAGTTATAAGTGCTGTTGCTTCCTCTCGTTACCCAGAACGGGATTGTGTGAAGAGAAATTGTGCTGCTGCTTTTGTTTATATAGTAGTGCTGTAATGGGAAAAGACTTGTTCTTGGTACAGTGAATGCTGGTACACCAGAGATCCTGCTAATGATAGTGATTAATAGGTGCTGCTCAAAATAGCTATCACTGTTGGTATGACTAATTGTACTGTATGAAAAGAGCTCCTTTATTCCCACTAATCTCAAGGTGTTTCTACAGTTTGAGAGAAACGTATGATCTGTGCTGAGAGATAAATGAACAGTGAAATGCAGAACTTACACTGAAATGTGGCAGTTCTTCAGGAGCTTGCTGCTGCTCTGCAAAACCACTTGGGGCTGAAAAGGAAGGCTATCTTCTTGTGGTTACTGTCGGTAGATAGAATATTATTACTGGAATTGGATGTTGGCCAGAACAACACCCTACATGTTGCAAACAATGCCAGGGTATTGTTAGCAGCTATAGAAGGGTTTTTATATCATACATGAAAGATGACATTTCCAGCAGCACGGGTAACCTCATCACTAAAGCAGCATGCTGGGCTGGCGCTCAGGGCGGCTGGTTGTGCTGGGCTCAACAGAATCTACGTTCTAATTGCATCGGTCCTCTTAGAGCTTGGCGATATGTCTCATTAGTGTTCCTTAACCTCTGTTGGCCTTTGGGTAACATCAGTTAACGTTAAGTAACGCACAGCAGGCAACATTGTGCTCTCCAGGCGGCCTTGTATTCTGGGATGTGTTTAAATTTTGTGCATCTTGTAGCTAGAAGCAACTTTGGAATCATATTTGGAGACTGAAGATCTAAACCACAGAAGGTTCTGTTGGTAGCTGTAGAATGTGAAGTTCTGCCTGGTAGGATGAAAAAGTATTTTGAAAGCTAAGTAGAAATTGTTAAAGATGTGTTCCAAACTCACTGGGAAGTTGGTGGTAGTGTTTTGTTGTGCCTCTTAGGTTTTTGTGGGATTCTTGTCTTCTTTTGTTGATGTACTCAAAAAATAATTTTATGGTAGGAGGGACTTAGTGCCTTCTGACCCCAAAGAAACTAAGGTATGTGAGGAGGAATACAAGGCATTCACTTTACTCATACTGCTTTGTGGGTTACCTATTGAATTGTTGTATTTGATCCTAGTCTTCTGGCATTCCGTGATATAATTTGGTCAAATCCTTGAATTTTGCCAAAAATGTTTTAAATTTTCTCTTCTATTAACACCATTGCCATCTTTTCAAGACAGCATTGGTGCTAGTGAGACGTGTTTCAGAAGAAAATTACTTTGAGAACTTTGTTATCTTGAAATACCAATCTTGTCTTAACTCAGCTGCAATTGCAAGTTAGTGTATTGGTTATTTAGAGCCACCTCCCCAGATTTATCCTGTGTGGTTCTGTTATGATCATAAACATTGCATGGGACAGGCCAACTTCCAGAGGCCTGGGTTAGAGCAGTCTGAGAACACGGGAGGAATGAGTGTGAAGGCAAAACAGCAGAACAGAGATCCCAGAAATGCTGGCTGAGCTTTGAAGAATAGAAGAGGGATGAAAAGGGAAAGATGAAGCACTCTGCGGGGAATCGTGGGCTGTCTGAGCGAAAGCCAGCAAGGATGTATTTGAGGTGGGAGTAACTGAGGCTTTGTGAGGCTTTCAGGAGTCTTTATAGCAAGTCATACGCTTTCCAGCAGCGGTGTTGCATATCGCTGGTGCACTGGTTTCAGGCTAAACGATACCATACAATTGGCACAAGCACATATTACAGCTTTTAATCGAAACGATGAACTGGGATGTTCAGGGCCTTTTCTTTGAAGTAGTATTTTCACAAAGGAAATATATACTCTCCCTTCTGAGGATGGCTCTAGGAGGCATGCATATATATATACATATTGTAGTACTACACAACGGCTTTGAAAAGTTTTTGCAAAAAGTAGCTGGTCCCCATTTAGAAAAAAAGAAAAAATTACCTCGTAAATTCATAGGATCACATCAGAGAAAATAATAACTTAGGAAGCATCTTTACAATACTCCTTAAAACTGAGTCACAGTTATGTTTTTAGTAAAATTTTGTCCTTGAGATGACTGCGTATTTTCTATTTAAGGCTAGCTAGATTGTATTGTTCTGCAGTGCGGCTGTATTCCTTCTTTGTGGTCTTTTATCTCTTGCTTTTCTAATAATTTTCAAATGGTTAGGGTTTGGTTTTTTTTTTGCAAATATGGCACTTTTTGATGTTCTGTCTAGTTGCCTTTCAGTGGGGTACTTGTCAGAAACTAGCATTTACTGGTATGCGTTCTGTAAAACAGCATTGCAAAAGATATTATTTGGAAAACTGTCAGGAAAATTCCTCTGCCACCTTATCAGCCAGCCCATCTCAGCCTTGCATAGTGTATCGTGTTCTTTTCAGACTTGTGTGTTGGTTAGGAAGTCATAGTGGAACATGTTAAGTGGTTGTTTAATAACAGCATTGAAGGTGTGATTCTTGTTTAGTTGCGTGCTCAAAGTTGACATTTACATGGAAGTCTGATTACACAAAATTCCTCAAAGGCTCTGTACAACATATGCTGGTGCAATCTGGGGATGGAACAAACCTCCTTTAATGCTGTGTTTTGGGAACTTTTCAAAGCAGTATATGGGATGCGTTGTAGAAGAAAGCATAGGAGAAGAGCAGGAAGACAGGAATGTTATGTCTTTTCTCCTCTTTCTGAAGATGTCCCTAGCTTTTGTTACTGCGGGAGAGTAATCTAGCAATGAAATTTGTCTTTAATTCTTTCAGGAACAGAGTGGCTTTAGTTTCACAAGTAGATTTCCTTGGTGTAATAAATTGTTGTGTTTGCAAGTTTCTTGGTGCTATTAAGAATTCCTCTGGATTTGCTGGGGTAAAGTCATATAATTTTAAGCAAGTCTACATGCTCTGTCTGATACCATGATATTCAGAGCAGTATTCTAGGCATTTTCCTTGTTTATGAAACTGAACGTCTTGCTCTTCTGTACAGATTACAGAGCTTGGCTGATTGTGCTGTAGAAGAACAGTTCAAGTTGAACCATAAGAGCTTCCTCAGAGAAAGATAAAGCACCTGAATGTCTACAACTCACATTCCAGAAAAATCTTGAGATCTTTTAAGTGTTTCTTCCAAAGGGTATAAATACAAGCTGATATTTTTGTAAGTTCCTTCAAAGTACTTGAATCTGGCAATCTCATCCTGAAGATGTTAGACATTCCTTTTACGTGGCCCAGCCATAGACCAGAAATGCTGAAAACAAATGAAAGCTGTAGTGACCAGACAGAAACAACTCATGCTGTTGTTGAAAGACTTTCCCTCTCTCTGCATCCTCCAGGCTTGTGACAAAGGCTGAAGATTGCAGGGGAAAGATCAGTATGGGTGAATGTAATTTTATGCCAGACTCCTGAAGAATTGAGGAACATGATCTTTCTGTTAAGTATTTCAAAATCTTTCTCAGAACGCTGTTTGCAAGTCATGCACCAGACAGTACTATGCAGAGGGAGGAAGAGGCTGGCTAAAAATTTCATTATTCCAGATCTATTTATTTAGTTTTTTGCTTGTAACTCGCTGAGTGTGAAATGGAGTTATCATCCCCAAATTCTCAGATGAAGCCATGCATCTGAAATAAATGTAAAAATGCAGGTTTTCATGTTCTGTTAAAGGCATCTCTGTTAATTTAAAGATCCTGAGAACAAGAACGGGTTTTTATTTATTTGTATGTTTGTACAGAAGAACGCTCACATTGCCTGATGTTGAATGTCTGCAATTCTTTGAGCAGGAATTGAAGCCCCTGTAGTATAGAAAGGATTAACTAAAACTGTGCAAGTATGTTGTGTAGAATCCAACTTCATCAGTGTGTAGCCCTGGAAAAAACTGTATTTAGCCTCTTACCAAAGATACAGTTATTTGTGTTCATTTGGATAAGTGACACAGTTTGCAAATATTTGTGAAACAAGATAATAAGTTCTGTGCTTTTTCCAATGTGAGATGACTGTTTACAAGCAGATGATGTAGCTGAGAGCTTTAAAATGTCACAAAGAAATTGATCTAAAGCTAAATACGCACATGCCATTCAGGAAAGCTGAAAACTGTCTTCTTGGCCTTTATTAAAGAAATAGAGAAAAACCAAAGTAGTTTAGTTTATTTGTTAGTGGTAAGAATTTTAACTTGTGGAGTTTAGTTCTGAGCAGTAAAAATGAAATCTTCAAGACTGCCAGGTTGCCACTGTTGTTGGCAGGACAGCAGAGGCTTACGTCGATACTCATGCCTTCTTCACCTGTGGAGAGCAAACTGATGTAGTGTGCTAGCTCACAGCGGAGTACAAATAAACTGCACTGGGCAGCAACTAGTGTAGGTACACAGGTTATAATACAAAGAAAGTTGAAGTTTTGATGGTATTGTAACTTGCACTACTGTATCTGTTACTTTTGAAGAGAAGCTGAAGTTCTTATATGGAAGAGCAGCGCTATGTTAACTAAAAATAACATTTCTGAAAATAATGCAAGTGTAAGTGGACTTTTAATTCTAAGGGTTGTTTGTTTGTTTGTTTGTTTTTTAAGAGACTTCTGTGCTAATAAAAATTGCATGAGGTGCAGGGAGGATGTGCCAATGATTAGAACAAAGTACTGAAAAAAGAGCATGTTTGCCTTTGCTGGAAATATGCTTGGTTCTATATTAAACTGTAGAAAGAATCCTCGCTGAGAGAGCTTCCAGTATTTCTGCATATCTTGTGCTGCTTTCAGGAAGAGAATGGGAACATTTTCTCACAAGCAATCCGATTAGGTTAATAAACCTTTTCTTTGTCTAAATGCTGCAGTAACTTCCAGGGTAACAAGACTGTGATGTCAGATTCAGCCCTTTGACCTCATTTCTGATCCAAAGGAGAGTGAATAACTTGCCTCCAACTTTACAATGTTACAAAATAACTTGATATGTGATAAGTGAACTTTATGTATGTTGTAAGGATTTGACCATGAATCTAACATGGCTTTGTCCACAGTTCGTTATTTTCAAGTGTATCCTGCAGATCCGTGTTGTCAGCACTAATTTAAATCTTACTTCTCCTACAAATACTTATTCGTAAAACTGAAATAGTAGTGTGGGTCATGGGACTGATATGATGTAGTTTGGCTGACTTTGGTCAAGTGCACTTCTTCCTTTATCCGTGTGGAAAAGTGATGCATCCGACCTGTGCTATTTTGAAATTCATCTTTGCTTTGTTTTGTGGTTAGAAAAGATCCTGGTCTGGTTAAGTGAAATATATTGCTCTGCAGATGTTGCTGGACATGAAGTCTTTTGAAAACCACTAATAATACATGTTTTGTTTTTATATAGGAATGTTAAATTCTTGTGGTGGTGGATTGGTATGATAGAGTAAATCTGTAGTTGAGGCACAAGATTAAGTGAAATGTTTCTGGGAACAGTGCATTTTCTTCCTTTGAAGACAAAACAGGAAAGAGCTTTTGTTTTTCCATTTTAGTTTTTGGAACAGTTAGCTTTTATGAATTTTGATTAGAATTGTCTGATACAGTCTGATCAAAAAAACAAACTGTAAAGATGCAGTTTCTTTCCGGAAATCTCTTGTTGTTTCAGCCAAGTAATTTATTACCTCTTCTTTGCATGTGCTATTTGATATATTCTGATCCAGTATCTGAGTTATTGATCTCTACAGGAAGGTATGTTGTACCGTGATGCAGTTGCTCAGTGTGATGTGGGATAAATTGTATGAATGTGGGTTGTCTTGTGTGCGATACCTACACTAAATATATTTCTCTAAAAGAAGTCCTAATATGAGCAATGTTAAACAGGTACCATTTTCAGCAGTGGAAACAGTTAATATTGAGTATCACACTTAGTAATATGTAAAAACCTGATTGTGCCTTAAAGCACTGTTGACTTAGTGAACTTCCTATCCTCCGTATAGCTGTCTCTAAAGGTTGTGTTGTCAAGGTGTGGTAGTTTTTGTTTGTTTTCCCTTTTGCATCACACCATTAACCTGAGACAAACAATTCATTAGCTTTGTTCACCTTACCCTGTCTAGGTAAATAGTGTTTCCCCAGCAGACAGTGTTTGAGGGACAGTAATCCATCTGAAATAGTCCAAACCCGGTGATCTTGGAAGATTCGCTTAATACATTCTGAAAGAAAGCAGAAAATAGTAATTGCAGCTGTAGATATCCTCAGAGGGTAAATATTACAGGCTGACTTAAATATACTGTTATGTCTTCAAAAACAAGATGTCCTTTTTCCTTTGCAACTCACTGTTGTCTTTCTGCTTTGGTTGGCCACTCTGTATCTTTTAGGTAAGACCCAGAATTTTAAGAACTAATACAACTGAAATGTTTGTTTTGTAATTTATGTAAAGAGGAGTAATTGTTGGGTTTTTGTTGTTGTTGTTTTTGTTTTTCACTTGATAAGATTTTTTTCTAAAGCTGATATTTACATTCTGTTATATGGAAGATACTGCCTCAGCTGACTGGTAAGCTGTAGGTTGTGTGGCAGGCCCTTGTGGCTTCCTCATGTTTATATTGGGATGCCTGTCCTGCTGCTGCTTCTGTTCACTCTGTTTTCCCTTTTAAGGGTTTTGGTTTCTTGTTAAGTGCCTTCGTACAAAGACTACAGTAAGAAGCATATCAAAGTAACTAATCATAGTCAGTGGTTAATGTAGTCCTTTGGAATTATCAAACAGTGAGAAGGAAAACTTCACATTCACCTATGAGTAACAAGCTTAATTATGACATAAATCACTGAATCACAGAATTGTAGGGTTTGCAAGGGACATCTAGAAATCAAGTCCAACCTCCCTGCAAAGTAGGCACTCTACATCAGGTTGCACAGATAGGTGTCCAGATGGGTCGTGAATATCTCCAGAGAAGGAAAATCCACAACCCCTCTGGGCAGCCTGTTCCGGTGCTTCGTCACTCTTGCTGTGAAGAAGTTGGTGCGGAACTGCCTATGCTTCAGTTTATGGCCACTTCCCCTTGTCCTGTCCCCACAGATCACTGAAAAGAGGTTGGCCACGTTCCTTTGACTCCCATACTTAAGGTATTTATAAACATTAATAAGATCCCTTCTGAGTCTTCTTTACCCAAGGCTGAACAGAGCCAGGTTGCTCAGCCTTTCCTCGTAAGAGAGATGCTCCAGGCCCTTTATTATCTCTGTGTCCCTTCACTGGTCTCTTTCCAGAAGAGCTCCCTGTCTTTTTTGTACCAGGGAGCTCAGAATTGGATACAGTACTCCAGGTGAGGCCTGACCAGGGCAGAATAGAGAGGGAGGTTCACCTCCTTTGTCCTGCTGGCCACGTTCCTTTTAATGCACCTCAGGATCCCATTGGCCTTCTTGGCCACCAGGGCACACTGCTGGCTCATGGCCAATCTGTTGTCCACCAGGACCTCCAGGTTTTTCTCTGCAGAGCTCCTCTCCAACAGGTCATGTCCCAGCCTGTACTGATACTCCTGGTTATTCCTTCCCAGGTGCAAGACTCTACACTTGCTTCTGTTAAACCTCATCTGGGACGTTGCTGCTCAGCTCTGCAGTCTGTCCAGGTCTTGCTGGAAGGCAGCACAGCCTTCTGGTAAATATGGCTTAAGATGCTGCAATTTTTACTGACATGCCACGTTGTAAAAATCAAGTTTTTTTGCCTGGCATTCATTCTTGAGTTGTTTTCTAGGAACTTAACAGTAGAGTTGCATAACTTAACATTAAAACAGTAATTATGAAGTACTACTTCTGACTAATAAAAACCCATTGTCTCGCCCAAAATATGGACAAAGAAATGTCTACATTTCAGCTTCAGAAGCAAAGATATGCCAATGGAGTAATCTGAAAGATACAGAAAACAGTGGATGGAAGAAGTTTTTGTTCTGGCAGAACAATCCGTTAGCTGTAAGGGGGATGTACAGATGCATTTTGTAAGAGGCTGTACTGTTAAATATAATTGTTGGTGTGCGTGTAGGAACTCAAAATGCTGTAGCCTGCCTTACTAATAGCATTTGAGACACCATAAATAGTTTAATCTGATATTGATCATCATATGATGTGATGTAAAGTAAAAAAAAACTATTGGTTCTACTGCCAAGCCCACAATGCTTTCATTTTCTTATGCTGCTGAATCTAGTCATCCTACTTTGTGCATTTTTCATTTTTTAATTTTTTTTCCCGGTTTTACATTTTAACTCAAGTTGAAAATGCTCTTGATTGTATGTGTGTGGTATGGATTGTTAGCTGAGAAGGGTAAGGAGAAATCTTCCATATGGAAAATGTGGGAAGATTCCCATTGTTCTAAACTCTGTTGTGTTAGTATCTGTGTAACTGAACACTACTTAAACTCTCCTACTGCATGAGTGATAGCTGGTGTATAAAATATTGCTTTTAATATTTTTTTAAATATTGCAGTTAGTCTCATTTATGACTTTAGTATTGATTAGTCCGAATAAAGGAGTTGGTAAATGCAGGACGCGGCATGGTCTGCTCCAACCAGGTAATGTTAGAAAACGTTTTGCAGAAAGCTTTTTGTGTTTTTTAATTTCTGAAGTAGAATTTTTGAGAAAATCGTGAAATAAACGTAATAGATATTGTTAGGTCTGAGAAGAAAATATTTGTTGTGACTAAAACCAAACGTAAGTACCTTGGTGAGTTATAAGAATGCATCTCTGATACTGTGCTTTGTAAGTTTGCTGGGGTGAATCTAAATGTAGGAGCAAGAAATTGAAAATAGACTGATTCTATGGATTAGAAAGTAAGGTATATTTTTAATGTTCAAAGCTTGCAGATAACAACAGACTTGATATCGTAGTAGGCAAGAGGAAACAGCTTTTTGAGAAAAGATGGGCAATTTAGATCTAGCACATCTCTATTTGTTCTTTATGCTACTCTTTGGGAGATTCCTGTGGTCGTATGTTGCAAGCTTATGCTGAATATCGAATTGTTATTGCCTAACAGAGTCTAGATGAGCAAGATCCTTTCAGGAAGCCTTGGAAGGAAGGAGTAGCTGTAGTAAGACAGGGTTGTGTTGCTTTGGTTTTCCTCCATACGCTTTGGAGCCCTTCCCACTGAAGCACATTAGCTGTTGTGTTTGTGCAGTAACAACTTGTACTTCCTACTACCATCAGCAACTGTGGATCAGGGTACAGACATTCAGTTTTCTGTCAGTTTGTGAAAAGGGCATAAATGTGAAAAGAATTATACTATTAGTACATGAAGAACATAGTTAAAAGAAAAATAGGGAAAACATGAGCCTTGCTTACTACTTAGGTCTAGCAGCTAATTGTTCTACCAGGGACTATTACTGTGTTGTTTATCTTAAAGCAAATATAAGGTGAACTTTTTGCTCAAGTAATAACTCCACTTATCTTCTCCTGGGATATCTGTGGAAAGGGTCATTATTTTTGTTTTTATCTCGTAACTCTATTGCAGGTTAGACAGGAAGGAGAGGTCCTTTAGCAACAGAAGAGCTTGGGCAGAAGTGACTACATTAGCAGACTGCCCTTTTTGTTTTGCCGAAAGCACATCTCCCTCTGTAAGCAAAAGAAGGTAAAGTATTTAAATGTGTTGAAAGGAAAATGCATTTTTGGGTAGGGGCAAAAAGCCAGGCTATGTACAAGGACAGATTTAGGAACTATAAAGCAGGCAGAATTCCATGGGATGTGGTTGGAAAACACCTTCCCGTTTTTCACAGAATGGGTAACATTAAAGAACTCATCAAATTTTAGATATCAAAATAAAGAAAAAGAACTTTGGGAGAGAAATACTTTTCCTAAACTTAACAGAGTTGTGCATTGTTTGTTAAGCTGGGAGTAGAAACAGTTTCGAAAAAGGGAAGACCTTTTTAATACTGTCCTCACTGGGTACTTTAGAATTGTTTCTGTAATTCTCATGCTAAAGGCAGAGGTAGTGGGAAAACATTTTTAATATGATATTTACATCTGATAAGCAGTGTTGTATTAGTTCTTACGTATTTTATGGAGACCGCAGTAATAAGATGCTTAAGGAAGGCACTATTTTGAAATAGTTATTTAGATTGTCCAGCAGTAGTGGTGTGATAGTCTTTTTCCGTTGGAATAGCAGCATCCTTTTTGAAAACATACTGGTAAATAGTTTCCTAGTGCTATAATAAATTTTTGTGGCTATCATTCATTGACATGAGAATCACAATGATGGTTTTTGAGAAGTTTCTAGCTGTCATTTTGGGGTGGTGGGGAAAAAAAGCTTTCAAACATTGAACCTTAGGACTTGATGAAAGTACCATCCAAAATATGTTTTTGCAACACCTTTTTTTTTTCTGAGGGAAAGGCAGTCTTGACTTGAAGTTTTAACTTATGTTGACAGTGTCTTTTCAGTTCGGTTCTCTATTCCTCCAGTAGCCAGCTAAGAAGGAATGTCAAATTGGGCTGCTTCTGATTGAGCTGCTCCTGTTCTCAGGCTAACTTCTGCTTTGTGGTATGAACAGATGCACTAAGTACATGGATGAGATAAGACTTCAATGTTTTTATATTTATTGTTTTCCAATCCATTTCAAAATTTAGCTCTACTGCTTTAAGAAGTTCTTGCACATGTTTTTCTCTAGTCTAATTTACATTCACTTATCTGCTTTTATTCTTAATTGCTAGAGGCTATACTCCCACTTGTGGTATTCAGTTTTTGTGGAGCTACCAATAAATTCAAAGGATGCCCTGCTGAGAAAAGGATAGAGGCTGAAGGAGTGGGAGAGAGAAAGTAGAACAAACTAATGATACTTATTAGAACTGCCTGTGCAGACTAATGGAAAGTAAACTGTATTTATTGTATAACATTTTGATAGTGTATATAAATTGAACAAAACCTGTTGTAGCACTTCATATCTTAGTCCAAAAATTATTCCTCTTTTCTTAATTTTGCTTGTGTATTCAAGTTTTCCCCTCAGTGATTATGTCTAGACTGTAATTCAGAGAATAATTTTTGAGCCACAAAGGGCAATTTCTTTGCTCTTATCATTCTAGGTTGACTAATTTTCTGATTGATGAAAGGAGAGCAATGCCTATATAGTTGGCCCTGTTTTGAAAGCTAGCTAGCTAGCTTGATTCAAACATTTTGGTATGTGGTAGGTTGGAATTTACACTCTTTTTTTCCTCTATTTTTACTCTGTATTCACTAATGCAAA